AATAAAATAAAATATGTATATAGTAAATATGCACATATTTAGAAAACTTAAAATAAACGAACAGTTTTCTAAAAATAAAAAGTTTGCTCCCCTAACGCTACGCCTATGCTTAATAATAATTCCTTTTTAGTATCGATTTTTCAAAACTTTTCTGTGTTCTTCTTCATTAGTTCAAAAACGCTCCAATGTGATAAGTTGAAATGTCAGTAATTATAAGAATATTCTTTTGAGCAATATTTAAGTTAACTTAGTTTTAAATAGTTGTCTAAATAATATTTATAACATCAGAAACTTCATTTTTTTTTCTATAATCCGGAGGATCTATTTTTTAACGAACCAACTCCAGAGCTTTGACTTTAAAATTTGCTTCAACAGTAAAGTTAATGTACCTTCACTAATTGCTCCTTTGTTATATTAATTTGTTGCCAGTTATAAAAATATGTAACAATATTAAATACAATTATACTGAAGAAGAATGCAGCCTCAGAATCCGGTTTGTAATTTTCCGATTTCTCTTTACACGCATTATAGGAATTTGAAATGGAATGCAATAAGTACCCATTTTTTTCTTCCTGAGAAACAGAGCAAGTCGACTGTTTCGCTTCTTCATAAAGAAAGGCGATGAAAATATTTACCGCCAAGATTTCTGCCGTTCAACAACTCTATTCACGCCAAAATCTTTTCAATTTCTCCCATCTTTTAAGTATTAAATAATCTTTGACAAGAGTTGATAAAAATCGAAGATCCTTTTACACAGCCATAAAATGCTTGTTCGAGCGAGTTAAATATTTTGTTGATTTTTATCAAATTTTTTTATGCTTCACTTTTTACAAATTGTATAGTTTAATCTTTGCCGTTCCGGATTCAAACCTTTCTTTGAGCCGGTCTGGCGAATTCTTTTTGAAAAAATCAAACTTAAGGGTATTCTATTGTGAAATGGAAACAACTATATTTTTTTTTATGTTGCTAATGCTATGAAAGCTAAAATAGAATTTCAGGTAAATAACATAAAAAACAACTTATTTTTGAAAAAAAAAAATTCTTTGCAATATGTAACTTATATAAAAATACCAAATCTATAAAAATCACAATTTTGAATTTTTCTGTCGTTTACGTGGATTTTCTGATTGCGCTGAAGAACTGTCTTTTATGGGGTGAAATTAATGTTCGCTACCGGCTACAGGGCGATTATATATATTAATTGGCGATTTAAAAATTGACCACCAGTCACCCCATGTGGATTTCGGCTCAGGTCCATTATATTGGAAAACACTTGGTACAATTTTATTACCTAAATATACAATGCGCAAAAAAAAGAAGAAAAACCACGCCCTACCCAGAATAATTTTTGATCTAATGATTGGATTTTCACGTTCTTGAACTCAATCTTAATGACTCGATGGGGTGATATCAAATACGCTAATTTATAAGTGCAGACGATATTTTAAGTTAAGAAATCATACACAAAAGTGTACTTTCTCTGAATAGACATGCCTTTTTTATCGACCGGTTAGGATTTCTAAGCTCCAAAATGTAAGGGAGTAGCCTCAACCTGGGAAATAAGGTCCCAATTGTTTGGTCCGAAGAGCGCTCTTTTGTTTGGACCCTTTAATGTTAATTTTATTTTTTGCGACAGTCCCATTCTATGAAGGTATTTTCTGTAATGATAATGCCCAGTGATGAAGCCCACAATAGTTTGCATCTTCGATCTCGGGAGCCTAAGGATTTCAGATGTGATTTTTGCAGATGAATCATACTTTTAGCATGTTTTTATTTAGGAGAATTTCTCCAAACTTTGTTCCTCTCCTGTTTTTTCCTATTTAAGGATGGCTCCCCTTGCAGTCTTCATGTTGATGCCTCAGAAGGGTTCTATTCTACTAAGTCAACCATGCTTTTTTTTAAGTTTTTTTATTGCATAGTGCCTTAGTGCTTTTTGTTCTATAATTAAATCTTTTAATTACAGAGAAAGTTCTTATCATATAACTTTGTTTTCAATTTATTTAAAGGAGAAAATCCAAAACTACTGTCTCACAATGGAGGAGGGATGTGATTTCTAATAAAGCATTAAATTATGCACCTTTGGTATTTTCTTTCTTGAAAATGGGACGAACTACCGATTTTTTTCTTTTCCACTTGCTAGTAGATACATTTATCTAGAAAATGGTCGAGTTAGCTTTTTCGAGCGATGATGGTGTTTTGAGTTAAGCTAAATGCAAATTTTGCATTTTTTTGAATGTTTGAATGAATATATCTACTAAAAGTATCAATAACTCATGAAAGTACTGGGTCAGAGAGCTTGTGCTAATAGTGAACTTTAATACTCAGTTTAAAAAGTATTGAGGTTCAATATAAATATATATATATNTGCTATTGGTTTATGAGATAGATCGAACGTTTCCCACACAAGAGCAAAGGGAAAAATGTCCTGCTCTTAATTAAATGCATAGTTGAGCCAAAAATAGATTTAAGAACAGGATGTGGCTTTTAAAAGTGTGAGAAAGTATTTCAAATAGAATAATTAATTAGGAATAAAGTAGGAGTTGTTTTATAGCAAAGAAACTGACATAAAAAGATTAATTGAAGCTTTTTATGTTACATATATATATATATTTATATTGAACCTTATACTCAATATATAAAGAGTCTTGGCAATAAATTAAATCAATTAATAGCCAATACATTGATTCCTTAACTTTCCTTGGCGAAAACTATTCTAACGTATAAATGACGCTCTTTTTATTCCTGGGTAAACGGAGGTGTCCTGTGGGGCTTAGCCTTGCAGCCACACCCTCCGGGTCATTTTTCAATTTTTTTCATATTTAATAATTCATATGTGTACATAGAAAAAAATATTTCTCTTTACTTTGGAGCTGCATATCTTTCAAAAATAAAACATTTTTTTATTATTTATCATAATTTGATTTTTCCTTTTAGCAGTTTATGGTGTTTAATATGTAATTGATAGCCTGTATCACATTGGAATAAAATAATGAATAATTGAAATACCTCATAAATATCTTCTTCAACTTATATATCATATCATCAACTTCTTCAAAATACCAGAAGTTTACACCTTCGGCAAACTAATATATCAGAATATCATCAACTTTTTCAACAAACCAAAAGTTACCACCATAATTTTTTTTTATTTACCTAAATGTCAAAAGTGATTACGACATGCACATTATAGTTTTTTTAAATAATAATATGCCTTTTGAAACAAAACATTTTTTTTATAAATTGCAACAAGAATTGGAATTGTTATAAATTTTAAAGACTTTACTTATTGAAGAGGTTTCATTAAATTTATAAAACCTTAGAATGTTCCCTATTAGCAATTAATTCAATAAAATTTCAACTATATTACAGGTAAAGGAGACGTATTTGGAGACTCATTTTGGAAAGAGCCTTCCATTGGTCAATCATGCGCGAACGTCAGAGCTCTCACTTACTGTGATCTTCATGCTATCAAGCGAGACAGACTATTAGAAGTGCTTAATTTTTATCATGCCTTTGCAAACTCATTTTCAAGAAACCTAGTGTTAACGTATAACCTACGACACAGGGTAAGCTAAATTAAATTCTTACATTAAAGTGTTGGAAATACTTCGCACTTTCTATTTAATTATTAGTTTTAGCTTTTCATCAATATAAACATGTAATTGTTTGTTTTTTTACTGGACTATCTTCTTTCTTGTTGTTTTTGTAAATATTTCATAAATAATTTAGTTCCATGAAATATTTACAGAATGTACAAAGTACTTTAAGTGTCTGCGTTAAATTTTTTAAATGCAGATACTGAGAGAATTGACATTTTAAAGTAAACACGACATTATTACACAAAACTAATGAACTCTTAGCAGAAACCCATCAGCATGGCAATGGGTGCTGCAGATTATAACAACACTGTAAAAATTTGATGCTCACGTTTCACGAAACTTACTGACGTTTTTGACGAAGCCATTTCCTGGTAAATGCTCCAAGCGAGCATTTCGTCAATGTGATGGAATAACTATCGCCACATCTCAGAGGAAAAGAATTTCCTAAATAATGTTTCGTCATTCTAGTTTTCAAAAAAAAAGAAGAAGAAAGAAACGTCGTAGGGTTTTGGGGCCTATCTATCTATCTATCTATCTATCTATCTATCTATCTATCTATATATATATATATATATATATGATAAATAAGTACCAAGCATGCTTGGGAACCAAACACTGGGGGTTTCGCGTTCGGCTGACCACCTGACCGGAACATCTGCTCCTGCACCCCAGAGCCCAAGATCATGAAAACTGAGATGGGCACTGTAGGCCTAGGCCCCCTATGGGCTGTCGCGCCACTAAGTTTAGTTTTATATATATATATATACACCGAAGAGCCATTACATTATGACCATCCTGCTAATAACATGTAGGACCACCTTTAGCCCTCAAGACTGCTAGCATCAGCCATGGCATTGATTCCACAAGGTGCTGATAGGTAGTCTGGGGTATCTGGTACTAAGCGCTCACCAACTGATCCTGTAATTCCCACACATTGCGAGGGGGTAACGTGGCAGCACGAATTTGGTTTTCCAAGTAGGACCACAAATGTTCTATTGGATTAAGGTCAGGTGAATTTGGGGGCCAAGACATGACTTGAAAGTCACTGGAATGTTCCTCGAACCAATCCATGACGATTCGACCCTTATGACATGGTGCATTATCCTGTTGGTAAACACCATCCCCCGCAGGAAAAACTGTTGCCATGAATGGGTGAACCTGGTCTGCAACTATGTTCAAGTAGCTTACAGACGTCAGGTATTGTTCCATGAGGATTATGGGTCCTAATGTGCCCCATGAAAACATTGTTCCTGGGCGAGAAACCATGAAAACCTGGGCGAATGAAAAGTTAGAATTCAAGTTAGTAATTGTAACTGTCGCAGTTACGTGGAGTCATCGCAGTATGGATATTGTAAATATACTAACAAATTGTTAATTCTAGATTGAAAAAACCAACACGTATAAGATAATAAAAATATTCATTTAATAACACGAAATATTAGAAAACATAAAAAACATAAGATCATAACTGACAGAAAATACATAAAAATTATCTTTTCTGTCGTATTGCTTTTTTTCGTATCGCAGCGAGTATCCAAAGCTTTAACAATTCGTTCTTTGGTGGTCAGTATAGCTTGTCTAGCATCCGCCCAACTATGCGGGCCTTCAAGACGATATTGATATGAAGTACATGGTCCAAAATAACAATTATAAAACAGCAATGGATCTGTTAAAGCCATTTTAAGGAAATTCGGCTTTACTCCAAACTGAGAAGCAATTTCATCCATGTATGGAATAAAATCAACCTGTACCGTGTGTCTTGGCGACAACACATAACGTCTTTCGATTTCATGATTTCTCCTTTTTATATCTAACATCATTGTTTTCTTGTCCGCAAACTTCACTTTTCCGTTCAGTAACTGAGCATACCATCTAGATTGAATTTCAAAAATTGGAAACAAAGCACCAAATGGCTGAATCAAACCAATTAAAGCTAACGTCGGATGCTTCAAGTTTGGTGGAAAAATTCCTTTGTACAAATTTACTTTGTTGTTGGTCGTATTTACTATTTCATCCTTGAGAAATGGAAACTTAATTGTGTATCCCGTAGCCAAAATGACGGTATCCAGTTTTGTAACATTTTCTTCCCCTTTGAAAATGACGCCTTTTTCTGAAAATTTCTGAACATCACTTTTTACAATGACAGTTCCACTAAGAATTTTATTTGGTAAATGATCATTGATTGTTAAATGCTGGGCATTGAATCTATGTTTCGGTTTCAGATTATATAATTCGTGATTAAACTTGCTGTCTAAGTAAAGTTCTAAAACAAAGTTCGAAAGCGACCACCCAACAAAATTGCCCAGCGTTCCAAGTGCTCTCGTTAATAACTGGGTATCAATTGGTAAGCCGTTTGGTCCAAGTCTGAACATGATCCAAGCTCCTCGTCTTGTACTCAAGTACACCTATAAATAAAGTGAATTGTTTCGAAGATTAAAAAAGAAAGTGTCAAACATTTACTGTAACTCTAGCAACAATTTCACCTTGTCCCCAGTTAGGCTCAAAATTGGCTCCTTTTGGCTGTTTTTCGAAGGCTCCGTCGTAATTTAAAATGATGCTTTTTTGCGAATAATATGCTATTTTTTTTTAATTGCTGGAGGTTAACAACTATTTCTCAGGACTGTTAGGTCAAGTTTAGACTATCTAAAGCCAGCGTCGTCTACGCTTATTTTGAAAATGGCGCAAAATGTTACGATATGGAGAAAATAGCCACAGTTTTGTGAAAATGAAAAGCGTTTGTGGTCTAATTTTTTAATATTTAAAAACTTACTTTAATGAAACATTACCTAGGCTCATAAAAATTTGCAAAAATTGAGAATAAGGCAGTGATTTTAATAATTTTCATCTAGGTGGGAAAATGTCCCCTAATTGGCGATTTTTAAAAAAGTTTAATAACTTTTAAAATATTTAAGTTATTCGTCTGTTCTAAAGCCTAGATAGTTCTTCAAGGCAAGATTATATATATAATTTAAAATCACCGCATTGCTTCATGTGTAAGGCACTTAAACTATGGCTTTTTTTATTTTCCTTGGCGTCAGAGCACGGAAAAACAGCGTTAAGAACATGCACCGAGGGAGCTATATTGGGATGCAAACTAAGGTAAACAACGTTAAAGAGCACAAAAATATTATTAAAAGCAGACAGCTGTTTCGGATGCTCAAAGGGCAACAGAAATTTTCTTTCTGTTGCACTGATGAAGGTTGCCCTTTGAGCATCCGTAACAGCTGTCTGCTTTTAATAATATTTTTGTGCTCTTTAACGTTGTTTACCTTAGTTTGTATTTTAGCACAAAGGTCGCCCACTTGTGTATTTATATTGGGATGACTAGATTTTTTTTAATACTGGTCCTAGAATGACCCATATAGGCTGAATGGCGAATATTAAATATCTGGTGAATCTGACGATTCTACATAGGGCCGGTATTGGTTGCAAAGTAGCCGTAAAACATCTGGTGAATCTGATATTTCTATATAGGGCCAATATATTAGTTGTAAAGTGGACGTAAAATATCGAGTGAATCTGACAATTCTATATTGGGCCAATATCGGAAAAATAACTACTTTTTAAACCCTTAATGAGTCAAGATTCGCGAATGTTGGTCCGATGAGGACTCAAATTATTTTACTGATAGGGAAAATATTCAGTTTTAAATAAATTTGTCAAGAATAATTTTTTTAAATTTTTTAAAGTTCAGGAATGTACGAGTTAAAAATGAAGGCTCGAACAGCAAAAAAATATTGCGATGTTTTGTACTATGCCACAAAAAACTTTACCTGACCAGTCTACTTTAAATACTTTAACTGACCAGTCTAGTTATTTCATGAAATAACTTGGTTATTCTATGAAATATCTAACTAAATTATACACTTTAACGGCAACTGATGCATTAAATGTATTTTGAAATTTCCTAATATTTTTAAATAAAGTTTTTTTTAAAGTCAGTATGTTCAATTCAATTTTGTTATTTATTTATATTATTTTTACTGTTACATTAACTATTTATAATATTAATTTTTAAAAAAGAAAATATAATTTAAATCAAGTAAAAAAGAAGTTTTCAAAAAATGTCTATTAAATGAAAAAGACCGATCGTTATCAGTCACAGACTCATTAGGTTTGAGGAAAAGGTGGCTATTAAGTAATTAGATTCTGCCGGCCACAGGCTACTAATTGAAAAAAGTTATCCGGAGCTTGCGTGCCTGGGGAAGAGCTTCATTTTTCTTTCGGCGGTCTTAAACTAATTAAAAACTCCAAGATGTCTGGGTAAGTTATAAGCATTGATGATGAACAGTTAAAAATTAAAAATTATTGTACCTGTTTAGCAACATTACTAATCTCCACTGCCGCATCCAATGCAGAATTTCCAGTTCCAATAATCAGAACTTTTTGATCTTTAAATGAATCTGGAACTCTTATTGAATGAGTATGGATAATTCTTCCTGCGTATTCTTCTTGTCCAGGAAATTTAGGAGTATAAGGGAGGGAATGATGTCCAGTACAAATCAATACCCCATCATAAATTTCGATCTCTATAGATTTATTGACTGTGTTCTGAGATGTGACTATCCATTTTCCTGTGACATCATACTCTGGAGTTTGAACTACATTGATAACCTTCAAATAATAAGATAAATTAAGTGACCGATAATAAGATAAATTCAATAATGAGATAAATTAAGTGACCGATAATAAGATAAATTAAATGACCGATAATAAGATAAATTAAATGACCGATAATTTGCTTTTAATAAAATAATAGACATCAGATCTCAAACCATGTTATTTTACATAAAAAAGCTAGTGCGAACGTAGGTCAACATCGTCGATACTTGAAACGGCGTTGTTTGCTCAGCCTCCTTTTTGCTTGCTTTCTTATTAACAACAATAATCAATTAACAAGCAATAAGAATTAATAAAAATGATATCTAAAAAATCGTAAAAAAATATACGTCTTTCTGTTCGCATTTAAAGAAACGATTATAAGACGATTTTCATCTACAGCGAAACAAAAGTAAAAATTCTTTCTCTCTCATGATTTCTTAAGAGCATGTCTTGTTAAGAGCCAATGATCTTGCAACATTGATAAGTTATTTCTTTCTCAAGAAGGAATGTTTTCCTTATTTATCGGAATAAGTCGCCAAGTCTGGGATTCCAGTAAGACTACGAAACTATAACCTTTTTTTAAAATAATACTATGCTATATATATAGCTATACACATCGTAAATGAATTAAATTTCTGCCTGAGGTATAACTTTAAAAGCTTTAAATGCATATTTGTTTAGTTTGGATAACGAAATAAAATAGAACTACATGCAGCTGTGGATGCTAAATTAAATCCTATACCGCAATGATCCTTTCTTAACTTACAACGGAGCATAATAATAATAGCTAACGTAATATAAGGCAAGACTCGCACTAAGGTGGCAAGCGGTAAGACAGAGGCAAACAGATAGCGAATTCCTGTACTTTTGCGTCAGGATAAGCAGATTCGAACCCAGTTCAACTCATTGGGAGATGAACGCGCCATCCCCTGAGCTACCACTACTCTACTTATGCAATTTGCCAATACTAGCAAGTCTGCTTGATATCAAGTGAATTTAAGGCAGAGGGTGAATTTCTTGACCAAGCGCCATCTATGACCAAGAGTAAGAATTCAGTCGCACACACGTCACAGCCCGTTTCACAGGGAGGACCTTATCACACACTATTCATTCCTCCACAGATCGTAATTTTTTAATCTGAACCAGAGAACGATCTATCTCCAGTTCAATACCCCTTGAAATATATAATGTATGTAGAGAAATTAAAGAAAAGTTCCACCCAAATATGTAATTTTTGGGTAAATTTGATTTTTTCATTTATACCGTATTTCATTGATAACTACCTATTTTAACATTAACATGTTATTTTGATAACAAGGATTTTCTGATTTAGAAATGTGGCTTGTAGTTGTACAGTGAGCCAAAAAAAAAAAAAANAAAAAAAAAAAAAAAAAAAAAAAAAAAAAAAAAAAAAAAAAAAAAAAAAAAAACGAAGCATCAAATAGTCGATTGAATAATTTCTGGGAAATCAAATTTTAGAAAAAGTCTTACATTTAAAATTCGATTTCGCAGGAGCTATTCAACCAACTTCGCTCAAATTTTGTAATTTGCTACGTAAAATGACTTACCTTAAAATGATTTAAAAAATTTTAGAGCTTACAATTCAAAATTCTTTCAACTATTATTGAATAAAATAATATATATTAACTAAAATGTATTTTTTGCATGGAATTATCTTTGGATAAACAAATTTTATAATTGTGTGCTAAAATTTTTCAACTTTTAGCATATTTGAGGTCACCCCTTCGAACCATTAAGATTGAATATTATAACGTGAAGATCCAATCATTAAATCAAAAGTTATTCAGGGTGGTCCGTTTTTTTTTCTTCTGTGCACTGTACAATTATATAAATACTTACTTCTTGATTGTATTTTATATGCTCCAAGAGTCGAAATTTTTCAGCATACATCATAAGGTATTTATACATTTTTCTGTTATGCATATAGTTAGGAAACTCTTTTGGTGGGGGAAAATCACTGAAAGCACTCATTTCTTTGCTAGAATTAATGACAGTTGATTTCATTACACTCGCTTGTCCATTATCTTCTTGAAAATTCCAGAGTCCCGCAACTTTTCCCGATTTCTCTAGAATAGTGAAAGCTATTCCTTCTTCTTTGCATGATTTAGCAGAGGCCAAGCCTGAAGACCCAGCCCCGATTATCGCCACTTTCTTCATATCTGCAAGTAAAAGAATAAATATTCTGTTAAAAAATAAGTACTGCAGCATGTAAAACTATTTAATTATAATTATTTTAAATTTCGTATACTTGTGTTCATTTGAATGCAGAAAAAAAAATAACAATAGTGAAAAGAAGAAAGATACTCTAGCAACAATTTTACCTTGTCCCTAGTAGGGATAAGGAAAACTTGATGCCAATTTGCTCAAAATTGAGGGAGCTGAAATTTTATTTCGTGATTATAAGCCTAAATATATGCATATTTAAATTAGTTTTACCCACAAAATTATATTCGTTGAAAAGTACTAAAAATTCTCCACGAAAACACGCAAATACTACGCACAAAAAGATTAAAAATTCTTCGTTTTAAAAGAATTAGGGTCAAATAAATACGCACTACCAAAACTCTTATCGGTTATGTCCTCCCAAATATACTAAAAACATAAAGATTAAACGAAATAACAAAAAAGAGGAACGTATAAACTTCAAAGCTCATAAACTCTAATTCATTAAAATGTTACTTTCCTGTTTCTTCCACTAAGCTCTTCAAATAAGATGCTATGTTACCCCAAATGGTAAAATAGGCAAGATGTAAAAATTTTCTTTATTATAAGCAAAGTTACTAGAATCCCATCCAAATTTTAATCAAACAAAATTATATAAATTGATTTTAAAGCATATTCGAAACCTTTTATTAAATTAATTATGTAATAAAAAAAGTGAGTATATATGCATAGAAAGAAATTTTGGATAAAAATACAATAAAAAACTAATTATTTTGAAAAGGAAATCAACGGATTAGGTTATGAATAGGGGCCATAGAAAAAAAAAGCGTGAGTTTACATCAAATGGTTAAAAAGTTTTTTAAGGCAAACAAATAAAGTTTTTTTTTTTCGTGCCTAAATGGTCTTTTAAGTTTTGATACCAAGGGCTTTTGCACAAAAGGAAATTAAACTTCCGTGGAATATTTGAAAATTCGTTTTTAAACTAGTTAGTTTTGAGTACACTTGTTTTATCTTGAAAATGCATTCATATCAAGACGAAAAAAAAGTGTTTTAATGCATTCAAAAATTAAAATTTAATCAAAAACAAATCACTACGTGCTTTGAAGACTAAACACTAAACATTTTAAGAAAATTAATAATAATTGCTCATAATAAAAAGTAAAAGTCACAAAACTTTCAAATAATTCAAATTGAATTATAAGAAATTTTTGAATTGGAAAAAACAAAAGAAAAATTTCCTGAGATACCTGGTGTTAAAGACTAATTATTTTAAATTTTCATTATTTACATTCATTTTAACTTGCCGTGAGTCTTTTTTTTTATTACATCTTTATGATATAAAATAAAAAATTCATTCATAAATCAAAAATAACGATTGGAAGTTTTGTACAAAATATTATTAAAATCATAAAAGAAGAATGCATCATAAAATTTAACGCTTCATTTTTATATTCTTTAAGAAGTTTGTTCTTGGATGTTTAAAAATACGATGTAAACACTACTGTCTAGCCATAAAACAAAACTGTAAATAAATATAAGTATACTGATTAACTATTAAAGAAAGATTTCTACAGTAATAATGATAATAATTTTTATTTACCTTGACACGATGCAGCTGGGTAAATGTATCGCAGTATCAATTACAAGCTCAAGAAAACTGTTTTCTTTCCACAAGATTGCCTGTCACATGCTGAAACCGAATTCACACATCAAAGATTTTTTCCTTATTTCTGTGAACTTAATTCAGAAGATACGCGATCATGCCTTTAAGACGGAAGTTTGGTATTTAAATTAAATTTGCATTTTATCAATTGATTGATATTTATTATTGGAATGCAATAGGGGGAAAAAACTCCGTTTATTTCCGCGATTTTTGAAAATTACTAGTTTTTTGTTAACATCAATACATTAATATTTTTCAGCGGAAGTAGTTCTTCTCCAGAACAAATAAATTGACTATGACGTCAGTGCTAGCTGATCGTTTGCAAGCAAAATGGGGTGTAAAAATTCTGATAAGTTTCTCCACATAAATTGGAACGTTAATTAACGTGAAGTTAATTTAATATAGTGCCATATCGCACATCGAATTCGTTGAAATATAATTCTTTCTCTTCTACGTCTTTTACTTAACTTAGATGTATTATTTGTTGATGTATTTTATTGATAGATAATTTCTTTTGTGTAACTGCCTTTTTCGATGCATAATTAGTTTATGTTCTACATGGCTTTGTGTTAAGTAAGAAAGATATACTGAAAGAATTGAAATCTTTGTGAAGAATATAGAATGTGTCACTTAAGAGAATTGATACTCGGCGGGCTTGACTTACTCGAAATAGAAAGGAAAGAGCGGTTGCTACCGTAAACAAATGTCACCTTTCAACAACCCAACCAATCACGATCGAGATACCCCCACAGCGTCAATTGCAGATATTCCATTTCTAAAAATTTGAAATTTTTTTATTTAATAATCAGAGTGTAAATCTTTTTAGTTGATATTTTCTTATTGTTTAATTTCAAAGTTTTTAGATTCAGTGAATTTTCAATAAATTAATAAGATCAGAAATGTTAAATTTAGAATTGACTTTTAATGGAACATTGCATGATTTTATAAGTGATGAGTAAAAAAAGTACAGTTTAAACTATTGATTTTTCTATTTTATAACAGTCGTTAAAGAGTCAACCAATTATAAGCTTACGACTATCAATGTTCAACTTCATAGCCTTGTAATTTTGAGCCCAATCCAGAAGACAAGGGAACTCTAAATCAAGTATTTTTGAAACTTGCCTTTGTGGAGGTCTTTTTGATGGAACTAACCAGCATTTACGTTCCATGGAGAGGAAAACCACGAAAACTTCCCCACAGTTAATCTGACGGCAAGGGGACTGTAACCCATGAACCGTCTACCACTGAGGATATTTCACGTCAGCACTATGGTCGGTGCGAGCCGGGTGCGGAATTCGTATCGACTAGACATAGCTGGGACTCGAACCGGAGTCACCACATTGGGAGGCGAATGCTCTATCATACACCCGCAGCCACTGATGCTTGACTTCGGTGTTCTACTGGGAACCTTGTCTTTACGATCAGACAGGAAGCTTGTTATTTTTTACATTCATTCAACCATCCAATTGAGCACGCATGTCTGGCGTTGGTAAACCAATAAAATAACCACATAAAAGATGGATGACTCAAGACACCATAGCTTAGTATATTCAAGTTTTGGATCTTTAAAACACTCAAGAGGATCATTTATGTTATTTTTCCCGCTTTAATTGAGACATAACGCACCTTACTCCAATCAACCATTAAAAAATCCATAGCAGGGTAAACAGATGATGAGGCCTATTACCATTCTATTTGCTTAAATGGATAGCTGACAAAATCTTAAAATAAACAAATTGATAAATTAATGAATGAAAGAAAAGTTGGTTATTTATTAGTCTGGTAATTACAGCCTAGTATGAAAAAGAGCCTACTTTTAATTTATTCGCGATTCTTCAGATGACGTGAAAACCTCCCCCCTCCCCCTGCAGCATTCACTTTCCAGCGTAGTAATTTTACTATATGTGTGGGTAATAAGAACTATATTTTGAAAAACTAAAGTTTCCGATGAATCATTATCATAATGAAAAAAAAAAAAAAAATCAAATGATTTAATTACCGCAAATTTTGGAATTATTTTGAATTGTTTTTAATTCCATCTTTCTCTTTGATACATTTTAAAATCAGAAATTTATTCGTAGATATTTTTGATTGATAAATTATCAATTTTCTTTTTTCGTCGTTGCTAGAATTGTTTTTCCTCAGTGTGTCAATATTTAAATCAACTTAAGGGTATTGCGTTACTTTGACAAAATTGTTCCCGTCTCCCGCACGCGAGAACGGCCATAAGTTTCAGGGTTCCTTAATTTTAATGACACTTTTTAGGTATCTTTCCATATCTCTGAAACTTATAAGGCGAATAAAGAAAGTTAGCCCACTATGATATAACTTTTTTTCAAAGATTATTTCAGGAGAAATTTATTTTATAAATGGTTACACCAATGGTTAAAAAAAATTTAAGTTGTAAGTTATACAAATTTTTGCAACACTTTAATCAACATAATTTTAAGTGACAAAATCCCAAATTTGAAGGCAAACGAAAAAAACATTCGTTTGCAAAAAAAAATTGAGATAGTTAAATTAACATTATAAACACAAAACTTTCAACCGCTCTATCGCTTTTATATTCCAAATTGCAGCTACCCCCATATCAAGAGGGACAGGAATTCGCATCCACCCCCTCCCCAAAAAAAAAATTATGTTTAGTTTGACAAATTACTTTTATGCCTGATTATGTAACTTAAAATATCGCCAGAGTGAGTCCAATTGCAGAGAAATCAAGTGAATCCGATCATGAAATCAAAAGTTATTTAGGGAGTTCCACTTTTTGTTTTCGTACTGTACACTTTTCACGATCTAACTTCTATCTGTTTGGAGAGACAACTTAAAATCTATACAGGCAACTATGACAAAATTAATGTATAGACAGAAAAACATATAAAATATAGAATTAGCATTTCTTTTAATCATGTTAAAATTTAAAAAGAGACAAGACACTTTCAATATAAATTAAACTTTATTATATTGAGCAATGAAAAACATACCACTAAAAATGAAAAACACAAATGAATGAATAAATGACACTTTTTCTAACTAGTATTCAAAATGAAAAAAAAAAAAAAGTATACATAATGGAAGAAAAAAAAAATAAATAAAAAATCACATCAGGAGATATCAAAGCAGAAGTTGAAAAACTCTATTGGCTCTTTATTTTACCCAGAATATCTATTGAATAAGTTAGTTATGTTTTAAATACTTGAAACTAATTCAGAGGCGCATTCGACCAACGAAAAAATCAGGAAAGCATTTTTCAAAAAAATCTTTAAAAAAAAAAAGTAGGCAATTTCTTGGAGCATCATACATATACATCAGAGTACTTTAAAACAAAAGTCAACTTACAAACTAAAAAAAGTATTAAGGAAATTTTATAGCAACAAATATATATATATATATATATATATATTTGTTGCTATAAAATTT